AAATCAATTTTTATCTCAGCCTGGTGGAAAATGTGATCAGTTCAGGAAAAGAGCAGTGTCTTGTGTTCCGTGTATCCATACAAAGTCTAAAAATCAAGCTCACATACGACCAGCAGAGAGTCCAAAGATGACCTGCCAAAAAGAGAAGGTTGAAAATATATCCAAGTTGCTGTCAACATTGATATGAAATATCTCAGGATAGTGAGCCTAGGGCCCTAGGAAATCTTTACCTTTTGCAGTGTATAGATTAGTATAATGCTCATGTATAACTTGTCTCTGAATGTGCAGAACAACTGGTTCTTCTCATTTTGTTTTTGCAAGGTGGTTTCCCTAACATTTGAAATATGTTGACACCCCTCTGACAATCCTCCACCCTTATCTTGTACAGATGTAGGTCTGTGGTATATTGAGGTTTCAGTGACACATGTCAGGGCCTCATGCGTATAGAGGGCCTGCTGACAATTCACCTCATGTTCATAAGCTGGAACACAATATCCTAATGCTTGTATTCCTCTATTGTAAGTTTGTGTGAGATGATTGTTGTATGACTGCATACAATTTCCTGCAAATTTCTACTAATCTGCATTCTGGGTCCTGGTTTGCACTTCCTGTTTGCATGTGTTCCAGATAAGACTTGGACTGTGGAGAAGTATGGGGTGGTAATTGTAGTTGGTTTGGATGGAGACCTTGGGGTGAAAGATTCTCAAGACCTTTGGGGGTTATGCTATTGCTGTGAGAAGAAGAAATGCTGGTCAAACTCTACTCCAGAAAGAGGGATTTTCATGTAGAAGTCATTTCCACCTCTACTGTTCTAGGTACATGTGTTAGGCAGTTGGGAAGTGATGGAAGGTATGAGCCTGTGGCTTGTGGTTTTCCTGGGCCCTGTGGTAGGATGGACCTTTCTTTCTTCTGGAGAGGGAAAGGGAGGTAGCATTTCCTGAGTTCTGGTTTCAAAACTCTCAGGCCCAGGAAGTCAAGCTTTGGGACTGATACCTGACCTCTGTGCTTCCTGCTTAGCTGGTCAGGGAACACTCCTTACCCTGTGGAGGGCGCTTCTCTCCGGTGGATGGAAGAGGCATATGGTTTTTGGAACTTTATTGTGCCGTCAGTTCCTTGTGCTGATCATTCCTCTCCTTTGCCAGTTGCTGTTGGTTGGGGATGGAGAAGAAGAAAAACAAAAAACTTCAAAGCTTGAGCTGTCTTTAAGGCTCATTTCTGGCTCCTGTTTGTGGTTTTTCTTCACCTTAGGCGCAAAGGACAGAGGATAAGACCGGCTTTCATGTTTTTTCCCTTTTTTGTATTGTAATGATTTCACACTTTTATATAGGCTTCTATAATAATCCATGAAGTTTACATCATAGTTTCCACTACATAAAAAACAATTATCAGAGCAAGAAGTTAAAGAGGAAAAGATGATAAATCATTAATAGAGTTTATTCATGTGCCTTTACCAAGCAAAGATGTATGGTATAATATTATCTTCTCCATCACATGGACCTATAACATAGTTACCCATTTAAATCATGCAATTTTTCTAAATATATTCTGATAATCTCAATCAATGAAACACTAGAATCAATTTTGAAAACATTCAGATGAATAGCTAATTCAGTGCCCTGTTTTGGAAAGGGGAAAAATTAAATGACTTTAATTTGACATCTCAAGAGATGAACCATTGTGTTATTACAGTTGGGCAGACTTAAAATTCCATTTCTCTGGCAAGGACCGCCTTTAATAAGAACTCAGTGTTGTTTAATGCCAGTGACCATACAGGGCAGGGAATATGAAAAAGTGATAGACCTGTAAAGGTTCAGGACTGTAGGTAGCGGGAGAAACCTTACTGCTGAAGAGAGAGCCTTGGGCCTGCCAGCTGTGCTTGCACTGCACAGAAGAATAGGCCTAGGTCATGGCTTGGGAGGAAGGATCCTATCTGGCCAATCACTACAGGGTGAGTTCTCTACCTGTAGAGAGGAAGCGAGAAAGTAAATCCTTAGCCTCACATCCGGAAGTCATATTGAGGAGAATATGTTGCCAGTATTCATCCACTCACTGCCCACAAAATGGACTTTGCCATGTGAGTTACCAAAATAAAATGCCACTCATGGTAGACTGGGCAGATATTCAAAATATGACCATGTGTGCCACCTGCCTCTCCTGGGCTCCTTGAGCTCGTCCCTCTCTCCTTCATGCATATGCAATTGCACGTTGCAATAACCCTTGGGCATAGCTCTTTCTTGATTAGAGATAGGGAGAAGTGGTGCTATGTCCCAGATGCCACCCACATATGGCACGAAGGTGAAATGTCACTTACAGTAAACCACACAAATCTGTACATCCCCTTTTCTTTTTAAAGTCTGAGTCATCATCAGTGGGCCTCTGAATTAATACTCCCCTGGGATGAGTGGGTAAGTTCAAAATCCTCAGAGCTGTTTAAGGCTCATTGCAGATTTTCCTCTGAATCAGTCATGACTTGTTTACAGATCAGTGAAGTTAAACTGCAGGAGTTATACAAGTTTAGCTCTTCATATTCAGAATGTGAGTAACCTTTTCCACTCTCTTATACTGCTTCCAAAATGATTAAGCTAACCCAGAACACGGCGCTTTTCTATTGCAATAAAAATACCCCCAAGGAAGACTGGTCTACAGGTTGACATAACTATGGAAAAATCCACAACCCTGAGTGGCATAGTTAAACCCACTTAAGTCCTCATGTAGAAGGTGTGAGGGTCAATGGAAGAATTCTTCATTCGACCTAACCACTGCCTCTCATTGGCAAAATCCGTTCCGCTATGTCATACATAGATAGTGTCAACACTGAAGCAATACAGCAGCACAAATGTTTTATTGTAGCATTTTAAGTTTAAATAGGCCAGAGAATTATAATGGAATAACTATCGCACTTTAAAGTCATACCCTACCTTAACTTCCCCATGGAGACAAGCCCTTATGCTCAATTCACATTTTAGAGTTTTTCTCTGCAGCCATGGCAGAGAGACATCCTTTTTTAAAATGAAATCTGATATTCTGCAGTACAACATAGCTGCTTCAGAGAGGTGATGATGTGGCATATAAGTATGTATTAAATTTGTGCCCAGTTGTAAGCTGGCTACTAAGGATAATGTTATTATGACTGTAACTGGAGATGAGCTCTGACTTACAAACCTTGTATACTAAACAGGAGAACACCAATTACACATATAGGCATGCTCTGAATTACCAGAGAAAATACATGAGTAAAGTCCCAATAAAATCCACGATTTTCATGATGAAGGATTTAGCCCATATAGAATCCAGAGGATATTCCTCACCAGGTTCTAACATTTTTCCCAATTTACCACACCAACCCTCTTGTGAGTATTTATTTAATGTCCTGTTTACACACAGTCATCTTCTGAAATCTGCATTCCATCGATTTTCCTCTGGTTAAAGAGGGTCCGGAAGACTGGAAAGCCTTTAACTCCTGAACACCATTCTCATTATGATTAGTTAATATTTTTATGGTTCCATGTGCTTTCTATGGACTTTATAAGCACTAAGTAATTATCTCACTGACCAAAGAGATTCTTGTAGAATCACACCCCACAATCTGTCTTCATGGCTTCTGTAGCACTTGTAGCCCCTATCACACTGAGGAAGTAAGATATTCAACTTGGTAATCAAATGCTGCTATCTTATGAAGTCTAAGTTGGGTGATATTTGGTGTCCCTTTAAAATCCACATGGTACCATAATGTCTTACCAGCAATCTGAGACACAAGTGCTCATCCCTACCTGTGAACTGCAGTGTACCACCCAGCCGCCAGGGTGAGGTTGATGACAACATCGACTGGAATCAGATCAGCTACTGCATCATGATTGACTTTGACAGTTTGCAGAATGCCTTTACCAGCCTGTAAGACAGAGGGAAGCACTCAGTGACAATACGCCATGACTGGACTTCCTTGTTTTAGTGAGGATGCAGCATCAGCTAGTCACTTTTCAAGCGCAGTGTGTGACACAGAAGATCAGGGTGTCTCTATGCAGAGCCAGAACTTTATGTTCTTGTGTAAATCCAACTGGTTATTGTTTGTAGAGGAAGTTGGAAATGTGATGAGCAAATGTAAGTACAGTAGTAGCATATGAAAAGGAAGTGGTCTCATTTAACTAATGATGATAAAAGCACAGCTAGGAAGACAGACATTTTTACCTTTTGTGGTAAAATTTTCAAAAGCTTCTAAATAACTTAGGAGCCTAATTGACATTTTCAAAAGTCACATGGGCACATAAGTGCTATTGATTTTTAATGAAATTTCAGGTCCCAAGTCCTAAGTGTAACATTTTCAAAAGTGCTTAAATGACTTAGGAGCCTAAGTTCCATTCCCAGAAGGCACTTAGGAGCCTCCATCTCCTGAAAGTGAATAAACACTATTAGAAATGAGACTCTGGCTCTTAAGTCACTTGAAATTATCTGACTATTATCCGGCCCTCTGACTACTACCCCATGCTACTCATCCATGTGGGCACAAATGATACTGCCAGGTGTTACACTGAGCGGATCAAGCGTGACTACAGGGCTTTGGGAGTACAGGTGAGGGAGTTTGGGGCGCAGGTGGTATTCTCTTCGATCCTTCCTGTCAAAGGTAGGGGCCTGGGCAGAGAGAGCTGCATCCTGGAGGTAAATGCCTGGCTGCGAGGATGGTGTTGCCAGGAGGACTTTGGCTTCCTTGACCACGGGGTGCTCTTCCAGGAAGGACTGCTTGGCAGAGATGAAGTTCACCTTTCCAGGAGCGGGAAGTCCTTGTTTGGACACAGACTGGCTAACCTTGTGAGGAGGGCTTTAAACTAGGTTCGATGGGGACAGGTGAGCAAAGCCCACAGGTAAGTATTGAATGTGCGGGACTGGGAGATGGGTTGGAAATAGGGGGGGACTACGGCCTATAATGGCAAGGAGAAAGGAGGGTCAGGGCACAACAGGGAGACAAGATCAAATCGGCTGAGTTTGGAAGCAGAGAGAGCAGGGGACACTGCCCCCCTAGTCTTTTAAAAGAAGAATGAACAGTTCTTCCCTGTTCATGTTTTTGTTTCTTCAACAGGGAAGAGTGGGCAGGTCTAAGACAAACATGCTGAGCACATTCTGTCAGGAAGGACAGACAGGGAAAAAAGGGAGGAGGGGTTGCCTTGTATATTAAAAATGTACACACTTGGACTGAAGTGGAGATGAACGTAGGAGATAGCTGTGTAGAGAGTCTCTGGGTTAAGCTAAAAGGGGTAAAAAACGAGGGTGATATCATGCTAGGAGTCTACTACAGGCCACCTAGCCAGGTGGAAGAGGTGGATGAGGCCTTTTTTAAACAATTAACAAAACTATCCAAAGCCCAAGATTTGGTGGTGATGGGGGACTTCAACTATCCAGACATATGTTGGGAAACTAACACAGCGAGGCACAGGCTATCCAATAAGTTTCTGGACTGCATTGGAGACAACTTTCTGTTTCAGAAGGTTGAAAAAGCTACCAGAGGAGAAGCTGTTCTGGATTTGGTTTTAACAAATAGGGAGGAACTAGTTGAGAACTTGAAAGTGGAAGACAGTATAGGGGACAGTGATCATGAAATAATAGAGTTCATGATCTTAAGGAAAGGTAGAAGGGAGACCAGCACAATTGAGGTTATGGATTTCAGGAAGGCAGATTTTGATAAGCTCAGAGAACTTGTAGGTAAGGTCCCATGGGAAGCAAGACTGAAGGGAAAAACAACTGAGGAGAGTTGGAAGTATTTCAAAGGGACGTTGTTAAGGGCCCAAAAGCAAACAATTCCGCTGTGTAGGAAAGATAGAAAATATGGCAAAAGACCAGCTTGGCTTAACAAGGAGATCTTGCATGATCTCAAAATAAAAAAGGAGTCATATAAAAAATGGAAACTAGGACAACTAACAAAGGATGAATATAGGCAAGCAACACGGGAATGCAGGGGCAAGATTAGAAAGGCAAAGGCACAAAATGAGATCAAACTAGCTACAGGCATAAAGGGAAACAAGAAGACCTTTTATAAATACATTAAAAGCAAGAGGAAGACCAAGGACAGGGTAGGCCCACTGCTTAGTGAGGAGGGAGAAGCAGTAACAGGGAACTTGGAAATGGCGGAGATGCTCAATGACTTCTTTGTTTCGGTCTTCACCGAGAAGTCTGGAGGTGTGCCTAACGTAGTGAATACAAGCAGAGAGAGGGTAAGTTTAGAAGATAGGATACACAAAGAACAAGTTAAAAATCACTTAGGAAAGTTAGATGTCAGCAAGTCACCAGGTCCTGATGAAATGCATCCCAGGATACTCAAGGAGCTGATAGAGGAGGTATCTGAGCCTTTAGCTATGATCTTTGAAAAATCATGGCAGACAGGGGAGATTCCAGAAGACTGGAAAAGGGCAAATATTGTGCCCATCTATAAAAAGGGGAATAAGAACAACCCAGGAAATTATAGACCGGTCAGTTTAACGTCTGTCCCAGGGAAGATAATGGAGCAGGTAATTAAGGAAATCATATGCAAACACTTGGAAGGTAATAAAGTGATAGGGAATAGCCAGCATGGGTTTGTGAAGAACAAGTCATGCCAAACTAATCTGATAGCTTTCTTTGATAGGATAACGAGCCTTGTGGATAAGGGAGAAGCGGTGGATGTCATATACCTAGACTTTAGTAAGGCATTTGATACGGTCTCGCATGATATTCTTATTGATAAACTAGGCAAATATAACTTAGATAGGGCCACGATAAGGTGGGTGCATAATTGGCTGGATAACCGTAGTCAGAGAGTTGTTGTTAACGGTTCTAAATCCTGCTGGAAAGGGATAACAAGTGGAGTTCCTCAAGGGTCTGTTTTGGGACCCGTACTGTTCAATATCTTCATCAATGATGTAGATATTGGGATAGAGAGTACTCTTATTAAGTTTGCAGATGATACCAAACTGGGTGGGGTTGCAACTTCTTTGGAGGATAGGGACATAATTCAAAATGACCTTAGCAAGTTAGAGAAATGGTCAGAGGTAAACAGGATGAGGTTTAATAAGGAGAAATGCAGAGTGCTCCACTTAGGAAGGAACAATCAGTTCCATACATACAAGATGGGAAGCGACTGTCTAGGAAGGAGCATGGCGGAAAGGGATCTAGGGGTCATAGTGGACCACAAGTTGAATATGAGTCAACAGTGTGATGCTGTTGCCAAAAAAGCAAATATGATTCTAGGTTGTATTAACAGGTGTGTTGTAAGCAAAACTCGTGAAGTCATTCTGCCGCTCTACTCTGCGCTAGTTAGGCCTCAGCTGGAGTACTGTGTCCAGTTCTGGGCGCCACATTTCAAGAAAGATGTGGAGAAATTGGAAAGGGTACAGAGAAGAGCGACAAGAATGATTAAAGGTCTAGAGAAGCCTATGAAGCCAGGCTTCATGAACTGGGCTTGTTTAGTTTGGAAAAACGAAGATTAAGGGGGGACATGATAGTGGTTTTCAAATATCTAAAAGGGTGTCACAAGGAGGAAGGAGAAAATTTGTTTCTCTTGGTTTCTGAGGACAGGACAAGGAGTAATGGGCTTAAAGTGCAGCAGGGGAGGTTTAGATTGGACATTAGGAAAAAATTCCTAACTGTCAGGGTGGTCAAATATTGGAATAAATTGCCAAGGGAGGTGGTGGAATCTCCCTCTCTGGAGATATTTAAGAACAGGTTAGATAGACATCTGTCAGGGATGGTGTAGGTGGAGCTTGGTCCTGCCTTGAGGGCGGGGGGCTGGACTTGATGACCTCTCGAGGTCCCTTCCAGTCCTATGATTCTATGAAATTGTACCCTGACCTTTTGGATTTAGTCTACATATGTCACAAAGTTTATCTTCCATGTTATGATTTGTTCTTAAGCATCATCAGGGTGTGTAATACTGAAGAAGTGGCATACCAGATTTGGTTGTTCTAACTCTTACTGTTTAGGAGGATAAACAACAAGAAGTCCTGTGGCACCTTATAGACTAACAGATTTATTGGAGCATAAGCTTTCATGGGCAAAGACCCACTTCGTCAGACGCATGTATCTGACAAAGTGGGCCTTTGCCTATGAAAGCTTATGCTCCAATAAATCTGTTAGTCTATAAGGTGCCACAGGACTTCTTCTCATTGTTTATGCAGATTCAGACTAACACAGCTACTGTTTAGAAGGAGTTCCTGAACAAATGAACTCACAGACAGACATTTCTAAAATATATAGTAAGATGTCATTCTGATGCTTATTAAAGAGTAAAATTAAGAGTCACAAGAAAGTTGCAGATAAAGAATAAACATGTAAGCTTCCCCACCCAGCTCTGACAATGCATCTCAAATCACATCCTCCAGCAATCTTCTGTTGTTTTAGTCATGGGCTACAAAACAACTCCGCCAGAACACTTCAGTCCTAACTTACAACATCACTTTTTGCTATCCCATTTCTAGGCTTCAGGCCATTGGCAACAGCATGGAAAGCAAGTGTTCCTATATACCACCGTGAAAAGTGCACCCTGTCCATTCTGTGGTGTGCAGTTACACACGTCAGTGAAAGGTTTCTGGCAGAGGGAAGGCATTGGAGGAAGGGTTTAGCTTATCTTTACTGCAAGAGCCTTTCACTGCAGTAAGGAAAGGCTGGGCCTTTTTCTACCGCCTCCCCTCTGCCAGAACTTTCCCTCATCACTGGAGTCTTTCACTGCAGTAAGGAGATGGCAGAGGTCTTTTCCTGCAGCAGGGAAAATCTTCTGCGGCTGGGAGGCAGCAGGACACTTAACTGCTACAAACAGCAGACAAAGACAAACAACTTGGGCGAGTCACAAGTAGTGTAAGGTACATTCTCAAGTACTTACCCACACCTTTGAGGCATGCCTCTACTTTACTTGCCTAAGCCATGCCTCTC